TAGGCTACTAAAAAGGTCTGTTATAGTATTTTTAAAAGTTTAAATTTGGACCAGCTATAATAAATTATTGGTCTTGGAATTAGTGTTTCTAAATTCTAACCTAAGATTAAATTAATCTAATCTAAGACTGGGACGGTGGCGTTGTCCTGTAATCCAGCTACTAGGAGGTCTAAATTGTGGATATTTATAGGCATGCACTGTGGATGTGATACTCCCTGGTATGGATTAACGTCCGCACTAGTGAGTACTACGACTAACCGCAGTGCTATCCTGATAATTAGACCATTCGTTAAGTACAAGGCAAAAATGTGGTTTGGATTCCACTATAAACTGTAGGTCCCTTAGTTTCCATTGGCTGTACCCTATTAATTAACAGCTGTGTCTAAGGAACATGTCAGCCTTTGTCACTAACAAGACTACAAGATCACACCACTCACCCTACACTCATCCTTTACTCATATTTGGGTTAAAATATGCATCTAGTGGCGTCCCCATCTTATATAATTGATTGATTGATTGATCAGCTTTTTAGTTGGTAAAAAAGCTTTAAACTCTAATTTTATATCCTGTATTCTTATCTACCTTAAAAATAGGTATGCTTTGAGTTTATGAGCTGGTACAAAATTATCAAAAATAATAAGGACAAGACACTGTCTACTGGTGTAGGGAGCAAATCAGTCTGACTCGATTATTTGTGTGTGTATAGTGTTTAATTGTTTTTTCTGTATGTTATACCAGCTTTTACCCATAGTCCAGGCGCTGAGGGGGTTTGAGCATGCATAAAAGTGTAACGAAATTCGACTTTTGATTGTTGCTATGGGTACCTAGTAGATGAAGAAAATCGATGTAGTCGCATTTCTAGGTGGTTAATAACAGGGGTGGGAGGGGGTGAAGTTGGGGGGCCGCCGCGCACAAAATAGCTTATATCTCGAGAACCAAAAGTCATATGAATACGTTAGACATGTCAAACTGTGCAGAAAAATGCATTCTTCAAAGAGATTATGTAGTAGTTTCACGGAAATTAACAAGAATTTACTAAAAATTACATTTTTTTAAATTTACGATAAGTCAGGAATATAATGATTTTTGTTGTTGTTTAGAACCACTGATTTTTTTAATTGACAACTTTGGAGAGTAGTACACAATAGGTAAATAGTATTTCTGTATAATGAAACTATTGCGGTACATAACTTAAAGAGCTATACAATCCTCAGATCCAATAAACATAATACAAAGGCGTAACACGCGTCGCGGTCATTGTTCCTGCTGCCGTAACTAATGGCGAGTACAGTTCAAGCTGAGACTTATATTATACCTTTAGGAAGGTGGAGATTCTGAGGATTCATTTTCATACGGTATATAAAATAGTATTGAGCGACTATTATGTAGCGAGAAATATAGTTTGTAAAAGAAGAGAGTTCAAAATATATTTTGGTGGTGGAACGTTTCCAACACCTGACCAGGTTGCACAATTGGTGTAACAGCTGTTTCGGCGATCGACAATTAATTATGTAGAATACTAATACATTTTCTGAAACTACAATAAATTCCATACAATTTATATATCTCCGAATCTGAGGTTGGTTATAACAATTTTATGTAGTTTTGAAAAGGTCATAAAAATTATGTTTTCGTAAAAAGATGACATTTTACATTCTGACGTAAATCACTCAGAAAATTTCGAATTCAACTACATTTAACTATATATTTTTAGAAAGAGCTTTTATTTTTAAATTATGCAGTATCATATTTATTTACTGTTGATGCAATAAATTTATTTCTTATATTACGAATAAAATTTGGTAATTTAAAAAATAGTTTTGTAGATTTTTTTATAATTTTATTTTTATGCTTATTTAAAAAACATTGATATTTCTTCGTAAGGAATCATATTTTACACAACCTTAAAATGTTGATAACAAAAACTTATATGGGTAAAAACATTATTTTTAGGATTTTTTGCGGGTTGATTTTGAAGTTTCTAATTTGCATAATCCGAAAATCTGCAAACCTTTTGCTACTACGCCTTAAAGCATTGCTGAAAAATATATTTTTATATTATTATATTCTAAATTTATCACTGAAACATATATATATATATTTATGTGTGTACTTATATGCACATGTAACTGTTCTCTGGTAAGATATATGGTACCACTACAAAAGGGCCAAAATATAACCGATACTGGTACCCAGATATAGTGTCAAGGATTGAGAGAGAAGAAGTAAAATTTTAATGCTTCGAACTTCAACTAATCAGCTGTTCAGGCCAATTTAATTGTTAACGATTGGTGCAATGATTTGTTGCATTACTGTCAGAGACAATGAGGGGTAAACAAAAACATAACCTCTCTTTTTTAAGTTTTGAGTAGTGATTTTTAGTAATTAAAACACTGTCGCAGGTTAATTAGTGTACACAACTCTCGTAAATAGTGTTAACGACACTCGTAGAAGCTTTTAAGGCACTCGCCAAGGCTTGTATTTAACATTTTCTACTCGTGTCGTTAACACTATCTTTACGCGATCGTTGTGTTAACTACGTTGTGTCTGGATCATTCTCTGATGACAATTTGTGCTTTACAAAAGGGGACTCCACAAACTATTGAGGAACTTTATAATTTAAGAAATAATCATGTAGAAGCAGACACAAGAATATTTCTTCATGTGCAAGAAAGCTTAAAGCGTAAAGTAGATGGTACTATCGTCTGTATTTACAGCCCAGATACAGATATCTTCATACTAGGAATTAGATTTTGGAAACAAATTCAAATTCAGGGATGCAAAGAACTTTGGTTTATCACCGGAACTTCTAATAAAAAAAAAGCTTTAGGATGTCATATTGCTTCAGAAAGTCTTGGATCCCGGATTTCAGAAGTTTTACCAGCACTACTACATACATTCACAGGATGTGATACAACTAGTAAGCTATGTACAAAAAAAGCCGCTTACCACTATGTGAAAAAGTATTGTGATAGTATTGATACGCTTCAGTTATTAAAACAGCCAACACTTAGTAAAGAATCACTAGACTGCTTAGAGGCACTTTATTTACGACTCGCTAAGAAAAGAGGAAACACCTGTGACGTAAGCCGTTTTATCCATTTTTCTACAAGTGCATCTTGTATTAGTGATTTGGCTGCATTGCCTGCAACCTCTGATAGCTTTCAGCTACACATACTACGTTGTGCAGCTCAGCTACATGTTTGGGAGAATTCCTTAACCCCTTTTATCGAACCTCAACCCTTGGAAGAGTTTGGTTACTTTAAAGACGAAACCCAGAAACTACGACCCAAACTTATGACATTGCCTCCATTACCAGAGAATTTGCTTAAACCATGTCACTGTAAGACTTGCTCAAGAAAATCATGTCCTTGTTTTTCCAAGCTGTCAGCTTGTTGCAGCTATTCCACGTGCCATGAAAGATGTAAAAATGTTTTTAATAAGCAAGATAAAGACTACGACTTTGATGAAGACCACGGTGATGAACTAACTAAGTGACTGTGCATACACTTATGAGTCAATACTTTGTGAAATGGCAAAAGCCTAGAATATTCTTTTGATTTAACATTGTCCATGAGTGTTACATAAATGTAATTAACATTATAAAGGAATATTTGTTTTTTTTTACAATAGGTAAGTACCTTTTACAAGCTATGAACAGCTTTACAAGCTATGAAAAGCTTTACAAGCTTTTAGAAGCGGTTCACAATGTGTTAACTAATATGTATATATATATGTGTGTGTGTGTATGTGTGTATCAAATATATATCAAATAAAGAAGGGTAAAATTTAAAAAATGAGATATTAGCGTATTGTGTAAGGTGCCTAGTTAGAGCAATGGCCGCGACACGTGTTACGCCTTTGCTTGTATTAGGTTTATTGGATCTTAGAATTGGATAGCTGTATTAGATCTGAGGATTGTATACCTGATAAGCTATGTATAGCAATAGTTTTATTATACAGAAATACTATTTATTGTGTGTACTACTCTCCAATGTTGTCAATTAAAAAATCAGTGGTTCTAAACAACAACAAAAATCATTATATTCCTGACTTATCATAAATTTAAAAAAATGTAATTTTTAGTAACTTCTTGTCAATTTCCGTGAAACTACTACATAATCTCTTTGAAGAATGCATTTTTCTGCACAGTTTGACATATCTAACGTATTCATATGACTTTTGGTTCTCGAGATATAAGCTATATTGTGCGCGTCGGCCCCCCAACTTCACCCCCTCCCCCCCATTTTATTAACCACCTAGAAATGCGACAACATCGATTTTATTCATCTACTAGGTACCTATAGCAACAATCAAAAGTCAAATTTCGTTACACTTTTATGCATGCTCAAACCCCCTCAGCGCCTCGACTAGGTACCATCTGATATAATTTTATTTTTATTAATATGAACTGTCATGGTTTATATATAGTAAAGTAAAAATCAAACTTTGAAATTGTCTATATAATTCATATTAAATTAGCCCAGACACAAAACCGGCTTTGTATGAGCCAAAAGCTTATGGAATTATTTTTTGTTTACTCACTAAAACCACATTAAAGGAATTTAATACCCCCACACTTTTAAAACTCAAATCAATACAGTAGTTGTAAGTTAGTTATAGAATGGAATGTTATCAGTAATGTAGACATAGTCTATCTCTAAATCAAAAATGGATAAAAGACTTTCCACCTTGACTCTCCTGTGTGTCTGTCAACAAGTTCTTCGCTAGACCTGACACTCTGACAGCGATAATATTTACACCAGTGACGTGTAAATATAGAGTATTATAATGTTAGTGATCAGAAGATAGTTTACTAAGACCCCCAGAAGATGCCATACTGCTGGCAAAATGCATAGGGTGACACACAAACATATTTCTCAATAACATAGGCAGCAACAAAAAAGATAATCTAATATAATTGAAGTTCTTAAACCTAGGATGAAAAAAGTTTAATTGCTGTTCCAAACCTATCCAAATTTTATTTTTTAAAAGCTCATTATAAAAATGTGTTTACAAAAAATTTCTAACTATATAGACTTGACAAATGGTTGTGCTAACAATAAAAAAATGTATGTGCAGCAGATTATTGAACACATTCACTATGTATTGTTCAAGCTTTAGCTCTCGGGACTGAGGTAGGTCTGACCAGTGTGTTCAAATAGTGACGGAGAATTCTCCTCAACTGTTTGTTCTCTGTTGAATAAGTATCTTTTTCCATGTGTAGCTGTTCACACTCCAGTATCACTTCATTGTACCGCTGCCAGAAATTGTCCATCACTTTCAGAGGAACATCACCTTCCTCCTAAACATTCCAATATACAAATGTTGACACTTGCCTTCCACTTTGGCAATGAGATCAGAGATAAATTACTTGAAAATTAATTACTCTTTAGATAGACCAAAATAGTATATTTCGTACCTAGGGCCAAAAATGAGGTTTTGCCGGGTAGAGATAATTTTTTAAGTTCAAGACGAAGCCGAGAACTTAAAACGATGGAGAGCTGCAAAACACTTTCAGCCCTTGTACGAACACTATTTTTCACCACACTACAAAATTGAGAAAATATATACATTATGCACACTAAGATTAACAGTCAACACAACTGCAAGTTTAAGGTTATGTGAAGAAATATTTAGGGGAATCAGTAATTTAATAATAATAATAAAAAGTTGCTAAGCAGCGGTGACAATAAAACAAGTCTATTGCAATGCATATTATCATAGACCATAAGAATTAAATATAGACTGTCAGCCGTGCTGCGGTTACCATGGTTACCATAGGTTCTGGCGCACACCGCTGTAGTTTACGTAGCGCGTACGCCGTAACTACATGGCGCTCCAAGCGGTGTGCACCAGAAGCTATGGTAACCGCAGCACAGCTGACGGTCTATATTTAATTCTTTTTGTCTATGATATTATGGATACAGCTTGTGTATTAAATATACATTAATGATTTAAGTAAATAAGCGGACAGCTGATTTTCGACCCCAGGGCCGCAAAAACCTGCTTGGTCGGTGCCAAATGACGATGACAGCTGGTATGGAAAGCATGTTTCCTTAGTCTATGGCAATGCGTAGCTTTCAGCCTCGAATTAACGTGTGTAAAACGGCTAGCGTAGTGTGGTGAAAAAGTATATAATACTAATATTATAAATGTGAAAGTTTGTGTATTTGTTTGTTTGAAGTTCAATCACGCATTAACTACTGGTCGGATCAGGCTGAAATTTGGCATGATGATAGTTCATATTCCCGATTAACATATAGACATATTCTTTTCTCAAAAAACCTTTTGGGCTCCGCCCAGTGGCTCTAGAGTTTCCTATGTTAACCTTATGAGTATTCATATTTAAAAGGAATCAAAGAATTTAGACAGCTGTTTCAACTAAACCAGTTGGTTCTATGATATTCAATACCATTAAAAGTACAAAGATTTGCCAACAGAAGCAGCACTGTTAATATTTTTTGAAACTTTATACTTTATGACAAAAGCTAATTTGAACTAAGCAGCAACAAATATTGAAGCTGTGATACACAATGAAAATTTACAAAGTAGAATTGTTTACAGTTATGTATATGTTTTTAATTTAATTATTAACTGTGCAAATGTTTGATAATTTACTTTTTTCTATTGTTTAGGTGGAGTGGTAGAACATTATGGCTATGGTAGATCTGTTATACCATAGACAAAAATAATTAAATATAGACCGTCAGCTGTGCTGCGGTTACCATAGGTTCTGGCGCACACCGCTGGGATCGCCACGGTAGTTACAGCGTACGCGCTACATAAACTACATCGGTGTGCGCCCTAACTTATGGTAACCTCAGCACGGCTGACAGTCTATTTTTAATTCTTTTTGTCTATGGTTATACTAAACGCAAAGCATGAGTATACTGCAATAAGCGTTTTATACTCATAGGCCAACCCCGTATGAAGGACGGGTACTCTGCTAGTATTGATATATACGAGAAAGTTAGCATCCACGAATCCCTTAATAGCATGATCTGTAGTATTGTTGAAGTAGCAAGTTTATTACTACCATTGACTATTGGAGTCAAAGTTACTACCTACGGTATTTCTTTTATAACAATGGCTATGTTGACATTTAAAATTAAAATTTACTAGAGGACCCAAGCTGCTCGTCAGCGTTAAAATAAACATAATATCCGAGAAATAATCAAACTTATGATATCTTGAGCATAACTGATTCAAACGGTCAATAGCTGAAATTAAAGCATATCATTTACTGATTATTTTGAGTCTAAAACATATAAAAAACATAAACAATTTTATTTTTAATCATAGAAAACCCTTATGAAAAATATTTTTTATGTTGGTTGTTCACCTTCCGTTTCTTGAAAATCGTCCGATTTGAATAACTAATAGCTTAAATGAAAGTCGGGATTTCACTTAAGGTTCTTAGACCAAAAATAACTGGGGAAATACTCCTTAAATTGAAGTAAGAGTTAAAAAATGAATCAAATTATGTTTTTTAGTTGAGTAATACAGTGGGTAAATATATGCCGATGCTTGATGGCAAATCTGTGCGTGCATATACCTTCAATTTGAGACCTCAATCATGAAAATTGGTCGCGTAGAAGAGCCAAACGAACTCGGAAAAGGAAAACCAAATTTAGCTCCCATAAGAAATACATGGGGAGCAAATTTTGTTTACGTATAACCCGAGTGGGATTATAGATAAATATATGCCGATGCTTGATGGCAAATATGTGCGTGCATACATTCAATTTGAGACCTCAATCATGAAAATCGATCGGGTAGAAGAGCCAAACGAACTCGGAAAAGAAAAACAAATTTAACTCCCATAAGAAATACATGGGGAGCAAATTTCGTTTACGTATAACCCGAGTGGGATTATAGATAAATATATGCCGATGCTTGATGGCAAATCTGTGCGTGCATACCTTCAATTTGAGACCTCAATCATGAAAATCAGTCGGGTAGAAGAGCCAAACGAACTCGGAAAAGAAAAACCAAATTTGTTTACCTCAATCATGAAAATCAGTCGGGTAGAAGAGCCAAACGAACTCGGAAAAGAAAAACCAAATTTGTTTAATTATATAAGATGTTTTTTGATTGAGTAATACAGTATTTTGAACATAACTGATACGAATGATCTATATCTCAAATGAAAGCTTTTATTTCTAGGAGTATTTTAAGAACAAAACATATAAACAAACTAAAATAAAAATGGGGTTATTGATCACTGGTCGTCGGTAAATCCCAAAATAATTACATTTTTTATTGTTTGGAATTCAGCAGCACGCTTCAGGTACGTCCGATCTTAATAATCAAGGGCTCAAATGAAAGCTGGTATTTCACTGAAGGTTCTTAGACCAAAACATATAGGATTACGTAATTATAACTGAGGAAATATATCTTCAATTGAAGTAACAATAAAAAAAAATCTAATTCATGTTTTTTGGTCAAGTAATACTGTAGATAAATGAATGCTGATGCTTGATGGCAAATCTACGCGTGCATACCTTTAGACCAAAACTATGAAAATCGGTCGGGTAGAAGAGCCGAACGGACTCGGAAAAGAAAAACCAAATTTATCTCCCTTAAGAAATGCACAGGGAGCAAATTACGTTTGTGCATAACTCGAGTAATACGTCAGATAAATGAATGTCGATGCTTGATGGCAAATCTACGCGTGCATACCTTTAATTTAAGACCAAAATCATGAAATTAGGTCTGGTAGAAGAGGCGGGGACGGACTCGGAAAAGAAAAACCGATAGTTTCATCGATTTAAAAAGTTAATTTTTACTGAAAGTTTGTCCTAACACCAAAAATGAAAGTGACACAAATTCAATACAAAACAAAGGCATTTGCTCTGTTTGTAAAAAAACCGACCTCTTCCTCTTCCTCTTCTATATTTTCTTCATTTTTTATAATAGCTTTGTAGTTTTTTAGCTTCTCTTCTTCTGACAAAAACTTTTGACATGTTGAAGCCAATTTGAGTATTGCCTCACCTTTCTGTGATAGTTTTGTTAAATCCTAAAAAAAATAATAAATATTATTTATAGAGAATTGTTCCACTGAGTTGCCTTGATAGCCTGAAGAAATTTAAGAAAATAGCAGCTGGTAAAACAATAAATTTACAGTTTGTTGCCCAGGCAATATAATAGGAAAATAATTTTAACCCAACTTAACATACGTTTTCTCAGACCAAATGCCCCTAAAACCCTATTAGGACGACGGGAGAAGGCTGCTTATCTTGCCTTATGATAATGAAATGTTTCCTACTTTTAGTACAGTAAAAAAGCAAAAAATTCCATAAACCTAAAAAAAAAATTAGCACAAGCAAGGAATTTGTTTTTTATCCTCATTTAATACCCATTTAATAAAGTTACATTTTAATATTTTGATGACACCACCACACTAACACAAGTAGACTTGACATCCCATTGTAAATTTTGAAGGTTGTTTATTGTGTCTAGTTCATGTTGGTGACACTGAATGCTAGTGACAAAGAAATTTTGTTTCTATTATTTTAGGGGTAATTTTGTAATTTGTACTTTACTGTTTCGTTGTATAACTAGGGTAAGAGTTATTGTTTATGATTAGATCGTTTTCTTTGGTTTAACGAGGTTTTCAATTACTGAAATAACTAGAAAAAATTTGTGAACAAATCACGACCTATACAGTCCACCAGACGGAACTAACAACAAAATACTTCGGCTGATCCATTAAGATGAGAAATCCATGATATCACTCTTTTTGAGTGGGATTAATAATTGTCGTAAACCTTGAAAGTAACCGTCAATTTTGATGTGTTTCACCGATTTTTGATAAATAAACAAACTAACTATACTTAATCGCTAATAACTCAACAACCGTTGGGTTTAGAGAAAAATGATAAGTACCAAAAATGTGCATTTTTAGATGGACTACATTTTGTATATTTAGCTTTTTCCTGCATCTGTAGTAATAAAGTCACTATAACCAAAAATACATAAATATGCCGCCATTTTCCAATGTTGCGGCCGTAGCACAGCTTCAATTTTAGAGTACTTTTAGTATGTTAAAAAGGATGGTACACCCAACATCTGACCAAATTCCTTGCTTGCGCTAATTTTTTTTTGTCAAAACATATTTTTATTGTACTAACTTGGAAGCGGGTTTAGTGGCACTGAGAAGATCAAGATGAATTAAACAAAAAATATGATTTTTTGCTGTATTTTATCATTATAAAAGGGGGACATTGAGGCATATTTATAGGTTGAAAGGGTCGAGTTTACTGAACCCCAGCTTATTTTGCAAACATGTATTTGAAAACAATGTATTTTGCTGTTTCACCCCATCCAAGGCCCCACTGACTAGAAAAACAGGCCATGCTGCAGGATCCATGACGTCACTCTTGTGGATATAGATTTATTGCATATCCCATATGTTTTAGGTGAATAAGCTAGCTGTTTAGTGTTTACGTCTGGCAACTTTAGTACAACTATCCACCACTGTGACATAGTGTTGCGCTGCCCATGCTGCAGCATTGCCTGTTTTTCTAGTGGGGCCTTGACCCATCCCAAAGAATGGCAGTTGTTAAAGCATGGCATGAAATAAATTATCTTACTAATATTATAAATGTGAAAGTTTGTGTGTTTGTTTGAAGTTCAATCACGCTTTAACTACTGGACGGATTTGGCTGAAATTTGGCATGATGATAGCTCACATTCCCGATTAACATATAGGCATATAGTCCAGGCAAATTAGATCAAATATAGGGTGTGCTCCCCAAAAAATCGTCTAAAGCTGGAAAGTGTTTTAATACCTTTTGGGGGTCCCAAATAAGACTCCTGTGAGTTTGCGACGGATTCTGACGTCTGCTTAAGTTTTGGGAGTCAAAAAACTATGAAAATTTTGCCCTTTTTTCAGTTTTTCGGTTATAACTCCTAAATAATGAATCCTAAGGAAAATGTTGTTCAAAGGTGTCTTTTAGTGCATTAAATTCCGCGTCGATTGATGTTAAATAGGTCAAAATCGGCCGAGCCGTTTAGCCGCTGCAGCTTTTCAAAGTTGGGATATTTTCATCAAAATGGCCAAAAGGTTGATTATTTAACCAGTTTGCAGCTTAAAACTCCTAAACAACGCATGCTATACAACAATGCACCTGTAGTTAGTTTGGAAAACACAAAATTCTGCGTATAATGTTTTTTTATCAATCAATAACGGCAATTGATTGTTATCTACTTTGCATGGACGCCATTTCATTGAAAGAAAGTATTAAAGTTAAAGTTGGGAAATTTTAATAAAATTGGTAACAACATAGATCCTGTCCTTAAATGGATTATGAATTATTAGATAGTGGTTTATTCCATGATGGTCATCTAGAGGTTTATCTAATAAGGTGTGTGAGAGTAAGACCCCCTATGTAATTTTAAGTCTAATATTGTTGTCTGAGGTTCCGAAAATTCTAGAATTCATCCCAACATTCCATTATATACGATCTATCCCTGTATTCATCTTTCAGTTTTTGGCTTACATCTTCTAACGCATGCTATAGAAAAAATGTTCCTGTAGTTAGTTTGAAGAGCATAAACGTCTGCGTAGAATGTTTTCCAATTCATTAAGATCGGCTTCACCATTTAACCGCTATTGATTGTTAACACTAGATCAGATGCTTGTCAAGTTTAAAATCTTACCATTGAAATCTGGCAAACAACCAGCCTAATTACCAAAAACATAGGGGATATGGCAGTGAATCTATCCACTAGTGTGACGTCATGGACCGTGCAGCATGGCCTATGAACAAGTAAGTGCTCATGAGAGCAACATCTTACTGTGGAGAGCTTTTTCCGAGATCAATGATGTGGATCTAGCCCGATGATTCGCTGGCAGGCCCATCGCAGTGAATGCTACCCATCAAGTTAAGGTATATTGTGGGATCTACAATACAACATATTATCAGCAAGTTGACAATATAAACTCCACGGATACGGTGGGATCAAAAAGAGATTCATCAAATGGTTCCAGTGTCACGACCCATTTACTGAAAATAGTTCGCTCATGTCAATCAGCTCAGCAGTTATCCCATATGATAGCATCAACGCGAGATATGTATAAAGCATAATGGAAAGGCACAGCTTGCAAGAAAATCGTAAATAGGCAAGCCTATAATGACCATAAACTTTGCAGAATAAAAGGAAGTGGTGACATTAATCGCGAGCTGTGATGGCAACAGCAAAGGTTAAAGAAGAATCTGTCCTCTCAGTCAACACGTGATATTCCACATTAAACCCAAGCCTCAATTTGAATCATACTTTGGATTAAAAATAGGTCCGTACCCACTAGCGCAGTTTCATGAAGAAAGCGTGATGTAGAAGAGTCGAAAATCTAACTATTCATGTAGCTTAAAACTACTCATGCTGTTTACTCCAATCAATGTGGATCTCACTGTGTTGTGACGGGTTACAACGCTTGGCGAAGTTGCAGAAGCAGGTTGGCCCTATACATGGTTGGGAGCAGAAAATATCCAAATGAAGTGAGGGTTGGTTTGGTCTCTTCTAGAGGATACTTTCAACTAATTTTGACTTTGATTCTAACAAAAGGGGCTGCTCATCCACCAATCCTTTAGAGCTCATTTAAAATTGTACTTAATTCAGAGAGATAGGTATGGAAAATTAACGTCAATGGGTTAACTATCACTGTGATCAACTCCGTCTACCTATCTCGACCATCGTGTACATGTTAAAAGGGTTTACATTTTCTCGCTGTTAAGATATGTGATTAACTTATCTATCATTTAAAGAATTTTCCTCTATGTTTTTTTTCTTTCTCTCAGCTGTGCTATTATTAATTATGCAGTTTTTTATAATATGAGTTTGTAGATAAAAACATAACAAAAATGTCTAAACCCAATTATTCTTTCCTCATCTTTAATTTCAACATGGTAGCAGAGCTTTGGTTTCGTTAATATAACAAACTGTTGATAGTGAAGTACTTATTTCTTTTTGTAACATAGTATATTTACTGGAAAAGGCTAAATAATAATATGGAGTTTACAAAAGTGCAAATTGGACTTCTAAATGGGAAAGATAATTGGGCTACCTGGAAGTTCAAGATTAGTATTCTGCTGAGGAGTCAGTCTGGAGTAATGGATGTCATAGAGGGAAATCTACACGCACCTACACAGAAAGAAGATCCGCCAACAGCAGATGTAGCTAAGTATGAGGCAGATTTAGATAAGTTCAGGAAGGCTGACAGTACAGCTATGATAATTATTACCACAAATCTGTCAGATGAAACCCTAGAAAAGGTAATGCGTTTTACAAATGCAAGAGAGGTGTGGCTAGAGCTGCATAGGTTGTTTGATGGGGTGTCTGAGGACAAAGCCTACGAAATATGTCAAGAATTTTTCAGTTTCAATCGGGATCCTAGCATTGATATTTCTGGTAATCTATCTAAGCTTAATAACTTATGGAATAGTTTGAAACTTGAAATATCTAAAGAAGGGGACAACAAATTTGTTTTACCAGATTTGTTTTTGATCTGTAAAATCTTGGGAATGCTTCCTGAGGACTATTTTGCGTTCAAGTCTAGTTGGATGATGATGACAAAGTCTGAAAGGACTATTGAAAACCTAACCACTCAACTGTGTGCTTACGAAAAAGCATTAGGGCGTAACTCTCAGGGTCAAGAAGCGTTATGGGTAAAATCGGAATCTAGAACCAAAAACAAAGCTAGTTTAGAAACTAAGGGAACTAATAAGAAAGTCACATGTCATTACTGTCAAAAGATAGGACACAAAGTTAGGCAGTGTACAAAATGGAAAGCAGATGGGAGGCCGCCTAAACCACCCACTTCCAAAGTAACAGAGGATAGTAAACCTAGTTCAAATATGACTTTGTCAGTTGATGTAATGATGACTGAAAACAACAGTGACTGTTGGTATGTAGACAACGGTGCCACTAATCATGTCACGCATAGAGAAGACTTGTTTCGGAAGTTTCAGCCGTTCGTCAACCAGGAGTCAGTGATGACAGCCAATGGAGAGTCCA